GGGGAGGGGATTGAGGTCTCCACCCATTTAAGAGGGTCCAGTGGGTTGTATTGGCTGGTTTTGATTGTTGGGGGGCTTACCCCCCCATACCCCCATCATTTACATCCATGCCCTAGGCTGCAGCAAATTAAGCACTTTAGGAAAGTGTGAAGACCCTTAAAAATAAGCATGCAAGCCTATGTCTGAATGATATTATGAAACATGTTTGTTTCAGCCCTTCCTATTGGATCCCAGCTCCAAAATGAAGAACAGGCCAGAAAAATATGTACACAGGATGAGCAAACTCACACCCCCTCCCCCGCCCCCCCAGCCTCCCCACAGTGTCAGGGCCTACCAGCTTTACACCCTTTACCGCAGTGAGGATGGCCAGATCATGCAGGTATGATGCAGTGCTGGAAAGGTTTGATGCTTTAGCATTTAACATCATCTATGGTTGCTTAGCTACGATATCACTGGTAAAAAAACTGCAGTGGCGTCTCTTCAGGCTCCCATGCAAGGCTGCTGCTGTGAGCCCCTCATCAGCAAACTGGAGAACCAGTTGGAAGCCACCAAAGAACTGATGAAGTCAGAGATACACACCATCCAGGAGCAGATGAACTCAAAGCTGAGGGAGATAGACCACAGGAACCAACTCCAGGTACCTTCAGGTTATAGATCTCATACTTAAAATCCTGTAACAGAAGCTCATTACAGTTTGAACAGCATTTAGATGGTTAAATCTCTAGCATTATATCTGTTCTGTCTGATACTCGATATCAGTATCCAATCTGACTATAGCAACTGAAAGAAACCTTGAAAGAAATTCTCTACACTCCCGTCCCCTGCAAACTCGTCTGTTACTGTCAAGTCACCAGAACAATCAGCCAGACACAGTGAATTAATTATGCTCTGATGTGGCTAGATCAAAGTTTTGGACAAGAGGAACCAAAAGCAGGTAGCACTGGAGGGAACCGAATGCCGTCGCTGGATTGACCAGAGGAGCGCACTGGAGTTACTGGGGGAGGAGAGCAGACAGGTAGAAATGGTGCTTTTTAACAGGACAGCATGCATTACAATAGGTGGCTGACCATAGCATGCCGGACATGCAGAAGATGGCAAGCTTGTAACATTCAGTCAGACTACTGTTATAAAGGGTTTATGAATGCTTATAATCAGGTTATTAATCAGGTTGTAACCCTATGTAACTTGTTAATAGACAATAATAGACATTTTTTTAATTATTATTATTTACTACCATTTATAAGTGGCAAAAGGGAGCGTTATTGTAAAGTGGTTTATATGGTCGCTAAAATAAAACACAATATCCAGGGCTGGAAATTATGGTCACCCACTCACCTGAGGCGAGTAATTTAGAGGGCAAGAGCAAAAACTCGAAAAGTAGCCTGTTGGCTAGTAAAAAAATTACTTGTGGGACTGCATGTTTTTATTTAAATAGCCCAGTTGGCTAGTAGCAAAATTTTTTAACTTCAGCCCCTTGTAATATTACCCTGTTCTTTGCTTTAGTGAAGAGTTTGGGATAGAATGACGAATGGGGAAATGAAAAGTGTCCGCAGTGATTTGGGGGCCAGCGAGGAGCGCCGCAGAATTACATACGGATGTGAGCATTCACAGGCGGCCATGGTGAAGGAGATGAAGAGATGGTGCCAGCTGAAGATCCAGGACATCGAGGCGTGCCTCTCCAGAAACCAGCAGAGTCAGCCGCCCTGTGGAGGGGTCACCCCAGGGGCGGAAGCTGGGTGTCCTGCTGTATTGCCTGATGTCCCTGGAGGTGCTCAAATGGCAGCATCTGGTAAATTGTGTTAGTGGGAGATCCATGGTGGCGCACAAGCCCCATCTGGTGAAGAAGCAGCTGGGAAACAGACATTAGAAGAGCGCAATAACAGCATCATACCACTAGGGGGTGGTGAGTCTGTGTGGACTAGGGTGCAGGGCACAGAATTTCAGCAATGAACCTGAACATTCTGGGGATTCCCTTTGCAGAGGCATATGAAAAGCCAGGAGAAAAGGGGGGGCATTTTTTAGGGGAGCATGAACTTGTTTTAGTGTAAAATGTATTAAATAGCAAAGTTTAAGAAAGCAGCCCTAACTGGTTCAGTTTTAGTGTGATTTGTCTCAGACTTTGACCAATTCCAGATCTTCACGCATAACATGTGTCTGCAAAGTTTGAAAAAGATCCCTGAAATATTTTTTGAGTTATTGTGCCAAAAAGTGTCTGCAGGCCAGTTATGTTAATAAGTGAGTTTTTATAGTTTTTGATAAACTGTATGTTGCTTGAGTAACTTGTTCTCTTGCGATGTTTCAGCAAACGGTCAGAATCAGGAGACGGCCATTTCCATGAATAAGCGACTGCCACAAACTCCCCAAATTGTCCGACCCAAGAAGCAGAGTCTCCATCAGGGCCAGAAGGATCCAGTTCTGTACAGACCTGGAGTCGGACATAGACGTGAGGGCCAAGTGTGCAGAGGACGCCACAGAGAGCAAAACTCCAGGAAGATCAGGGGGGACTTTGGCGGGCAGAATGGGGGAGAAGCAGAGGGCTGTGCCCCCCCCCTACATGAGCACGAGGGCATGCACAGAGAGGAGGAGATGCAGAGTTTCTTCAAGGCTGTCTCTGCACAGATGGATCGCTGGTGCGAGAGGAAAGCCCAGGAGACTCGCCGGCAGGTGGAAGAGAGGGTCCAACAGGACCGGGCCACCCTGCTGCGAAGGATCAGCACCCTGGAGGGTGAGATAGAGCTGCTCAGGACCAGAGCATGCAGGGGAACACTACTAACGTGACACCACATGCTGACTGGTGACATAAATGCAAAAATAATGTAATGTGAGGAATGTAATATAAACCAAAAAAAAAAAGGGTGAACTGGGGCCAATGTGTGGCTCACTTGCTTCCCACGATCAGAAGGTTCTGGAGCCAGAAGACAGATATTGCTGCTGGGATGCTGCATGCTCTGGACCACAATGAAAAATGATAGGTTCAGAGAGATAACCAATCAGGTTGTAGAGGAGGTGGGTCCAAGCAACTAGAGGAGGTGAAACAAACCAATCATATGTCTTATGCGGAGAAAGGTCCCACCTCCTCTGCAGTCTGACTGGTTGTCTCTCTAAATCAATCATTTTTCTTTGCCCTCAGAACACTTTTGTGTAAGTAAAACTCCCACGAGCTGTTGGGCTCCTGATAAAGGCCAGTCACCCCCAATTGCTCTAGGGACGCTGTATGCGGGCTTGACCCTACACTGTGACCCCCCAAGCTTGCCCTCCACCCCATCACCAGGATGAATAATGTATTACAATATTAATGTCTGTAAAGCTGGAGATGCAATAGTAGTAAAAGTAATAAACTATATAGCCATAATATTGTCATTATTTTTTCGCGGGGAAAGCAAAAAAAAATAGGTCAACGGTGTCAACATGAATGCTTTATTGTTAACATCATTGTTAACTTGATGAAAGACTTTCATTGTTTCCTGCAGGCTTTGTACCAGCTAAAAGAACTTACTGTCATGAAGAATCTTTCTTATGCCGATTATTTGACAGAAAACATCTACCTTCAAATGTAAAATGACTGTCTTGCTGCCTCATATCTCTGCCACAGGAATGATAAAAAGATGAACGGACGAATAGCAAGATGAAAAGTTGGGTAGAATCACAGTGTGACCTTTCTCTAAGTTTTAGTCATTGCCTTTACATCATCGTGCATATGTCAGTGAATGGCAAGGAAGCGAGTCCCAGAAGTACTTTGGGGTTTGTCTTTTGGACCTTGGTGCTATCAGCAAACTGAACAAACAATTGTATTCGTTCTCTGAGGATAAATATTGTTCATGCTGTGACAACTCAGGCTGTGTCCCAAAAACAAGGAAAAAAACATTCTATACCAAAAATAAAAGCTAAGCTGTGCTTCCTGAATGTAGTTAGGCATGTTAAAGAGCTTTCTGATAACACAGCGATGCCGTGTGACATCTGGCATACGCTCCTACGCCCCTCCCATGAATCAAAATCAATTCAATCTCCCATCAACCTGAAACGCTGTCCAATGGAAAGATAATTAAATGCCTGTAGGGGGTGGGGGACAGGCTAGTAATTTGATGTAGGTCCATGATGCAAAGTCGTCACAGAGCTGCTGGTGCAGAGAGCCGGATCCATTTCAGTGTGATGTACCTACATCTTGGAGTGTCAGTTAATGTGCAGTTACCTTTTCTGGGCCTGTTACTTTGCATGTCACCAATGTGTCACCCATTAATATACTGCAGGCAAGCAAAGAAGGGCTATTTCTGCATGTCAAACTAAAGTTTACATGCAATAAGCCACCAGCTAAATTTGTAATGACACGTTCTTTATTTATTCTGTTAATTATTGGGAACACGCAGAACATAATATAAAAAATTGTCAGTAACAGGCTTTGTAATGCTAAGAATCAGCATTTCTTTTCTGTGCCCAGTGTGTTCAGGTTAAATTTTTCTCTTTTCTTTGGTTTGGTAGCAAAATGACGAGACTAAATGTTCTGCCAGAATGTCTATGGATTTTCTATTCCCAAAACAGAGCTTCGTGTAACTGGCTATAAACTGGGACATGACTCATTGATCATTTTCTCTGGATGTCACAGTTACATCGGATGAAACAAATTTTATGATGTGGCCCGCAAACAACGACAAAGACAATTATAACCAGACCTATATTGCGTACAAAGAAAGAGAATGTTTGTTGAAAGTGGGGGGAAAAATACTGGTCACGTGCTACTTCAATAATGACAGATGGTAGGGACACATATTTTGGGTTGTATAGCTGATTACGTGCTCTATTGTCTGTGGCAAGCTGCCATTTGGCATTATGTAATCTACATAAGATCAATCACTGCATTCCCTCCATACTACATGCCATATACCCTGGGATTCATTCAGAGAAGCCGTGCCAAGAGAACAGGCTGTGCTTTAAGTGTGTCAAACTGGCACCTATCTCCACAACTGCTTACCCAAGCGGCATCATTTCGATATGACTACTTGGGCGCTGATACGAGAGAACTACATGTCCTTTTGAAATGTAAGCTGATGTATCTGATGAGTTCTAAAAAATATACTACCATTTGTTACCTATTGCAGATGCACAATTTTATCATTTTTAGCTCTTAAAAAATCTTTTTAAAGACTCGTTACATGAAGAAAATATACATTCCTTTCAGTAAAATATACATTTTAATTGACTCTTTAACGTATAATATGAACATTTCATGATGTGATTTATTGAATAGAATGTTACGTTTGTTATTTGAAACCTTACTCAAACTGCTCTTACAACATGCGTACTCCTTCCAGCACAGGAATATGTGTCACAGAGCATGGGAGATTGGAAGTTGTTGGGCAGTATCTTGGAAGAGGTTTACATGCACTCAACCATAGTGGGCAAAATCTGGCTGACCATCCTGTTCATTTTTCGGATGCTTGTTCTCGGTGTTGCGGCTGAGGACGTCTGGGAAGATGAGCAAAGGGAGTTCGTTTGCAACACAGAGCAGCCTGGATGCAGAAACGTCTGCTATGACCAGGCATTTCCAATTTCCCTCATTCGGTTCTGGGTGCTTCAGATCATTTCCGTGTCCTCGCCTTCTCTTTTGTACATGGGCCACGCACTCTACCATCTAAGGGTCCTCGAAAAGGAGAACAGGAAGAAGAAGGCTCAGATGATGGTGGAACTGGAGGAGATACGTCCAATTCTGCTTGGCCACAATAGGATTGAAAAGAAGTTGAGAATGTTAGAAGAACAGAGAAAGGCAGCTAAGGCTCCTCTTAGAGGGTCACTCTTGGGCACATATGTTTTCCATATCTTAATGAGATCTGTAGTAGAGGTGGGCTTTATAGTAGGGCAATACATCTTATATGGTGTTGGGCTGGAACCCCTATACAAGTGCAAGAGAATACCCTGCCCAAACAGCGTGGACTGCTTTGTCTCCAGACCAACGGAGAAAACCATCTTTATGGCTTTTATGACAGTCATTGCCAGCGTTTCTCTGTTCCTGAACCTCCTGGAAGTATCTTACCTGGGAGTAAAAATCATCGGGAGGAGCTTTCATGAAAGGAAAGGCACACATCACGATTATGACTACAAGGGCAAGAGAAGCCAGGAAGGTGGAATGAAACCTGCAACAGTGAGCTCGTTAGCGTGTGAAAACGAGGCATTCATTCATAAGACACTCGGCTGTGTGCCGGCTGAGCACAGGAACTATCACCTGGCGCCCAGTCCTTCAGCTGTCCTTCAGGAGACTGAGAAAGATTTGTGGTATAACAGCAAAGCTGGTGGCATCATTCAGTCCGAAAGCATGCATCAGCATCCAAAAGATCCGTGCCAGACCATCCAGGAGGATATGCATGTTCCTTTTCTCCAAAGTGCAAAGCAAGGTCGTGCTGCTTTGGATAGCTCTGATCAGTCATGCAGCGACAAGAACTTTCACACTAACAAGAGGTCCAGGAACACTGACCTTCAGCGATACAGCCGGCCACACCCTAGAGCGACGTCTCGGGCTGGTCACAGAGAGGTATCACCCTATGCACGCAATATTCCTCACAAGCAGAACTGGACGAGATGTTCCAGACGCCCTGGGGACACACGGTATGCGCTCCAGGGTGATGTCATGTTCCCGTCTACGAGGAAGAGTGGCTCTTTGTGCCTGGTGCCGTCAGGGAACAGGCCAATGCAGCGATCTGGCAGTCCACGCTCTAGGAGCAGCTTGGGATCGGATTTCAAACTGTTTTCAAAAAGAGACAGTTCATCCATCGTGCTGAGCAGGCTGAGCCTGCCCACTGCAAGCAGAGCCAAACAACAGGCAGCCTCAGATCTTGTTGTGTAAGACAAATGCTGCAAATTATTCATAGATAAAAAATAGCCAGTTCATGACCTTAACTTAGCGGGTAGGGAAAAATGGTTTCTTTCCAACTAGCAAAACTATTTCTATTTTTAAAGTGATTTTTTCCCCCTTCGAATTAAAAAAGAAAACATTTTGTAGCTTTATTTTATTCATAAATTTTCGAGGTAAAATATATATTTTTCAGAATATTTTAATGACCTTTGATGATTAAAAATAGTAGTTTGACTTAAAATATGCATCTTTTATAGGAAAATTCAGAAAAATTTGAATTTATTACACAAGTTTCAGCTCTTAATTGAAAAACTGAATTATACTAATGACAAATTCTGACCATGGCTAATATTTGATATTGCAAGAGTATATAATAAAATATACCATGCTATACAGTTTATGCATGAGTCTTTTTTTCTTCTTATCATAATTAATGTATTCAAATTGCCATTATGAGGCTTGCATGCTCATGTAGTTTAATGTGACTGGCATTCCGTAAAACAATAGTGAGGTTTGCTGCATTTAAAATGGTTCTTTCCCACCTTTGTTTCTTTTTGCACATAACCAGGCAAGCATTGTCAGTAACACGTAAGCATCCATAGAAAGCCTGTATAGACAGCTGGATCTTTGGAATAAGGTCATGTGACTCACTTGAAACCCATTCCTTTATAAGTGTATATTGGCATATTAGTTTCCGCATTCATAGTCAGCATGTTTGGAATTTGGAATGGACAAAAAAAATGTGGCTCAATGATGAATTGTTGTCAGTGATCCTATGAAAAATCCTGCGAATTAGCCAATATTAATAACTCTATTTCATTAATAACCCTACTGATGAAGTTTACTGTTTGCTGCTTGAAGATAACCCTGATAACTCCAATACTACTCCAGCTCTGCTAACAGCAGTATGACATCAAAGTTGATAGAGCAGAGGCAGGATCCAAAACACAAACCACAGGGGTGTTAGGTAGTCATATGTCCCAGCAACAGAGGTTGAGAATTCAGATCCAGATAGTAAAAATCCAGACCAAGATTTTGTTTCAACCAACCAGTTGAGTATACAGCTTCACAGTCACAGAGTACTCAACTGGTTGGTTGAAACAAACTCTTAGTCTGGATTTTACTTTCTGGATCTGAACTTTCGGAACGTAAGACATTTTTAACAGAATATTCAATAGTCATGTAACATTACTAAAGCTGTGAAGGTATGGATGTTGTGTTTTTAAAATAAAACTTAAAATAACCCTTTGGGTTATCTGTAAGTTAACTTAGTGGGAAAATGTGCATACTGGATGTGAGATGTAAAGAAATAATTAGAAATATTAACAGCCGTTATGAATGAGGCAAGTTAGAAAATCTAGTTTGGACAGAAGAAAAAATGCAATGAAACAAAGATTTACGAAACTCTTTTCATAACAATCAACAAAAAACTGTATACATGATATGTTCTTTAATTCATTAACAGAAATGTTATCTAGACAAAAAAAAAACGTATTATTAAACAATTCAAATAAATGAACGTCTTTTTGCACAATATTGTATTTACATGGGTTATACGAAGCCTAATCCATTAGGACTTTTTTCAGGTAAAAAGGCAAAAACTAAGTAAAAGAATATGCAAATAACAACTATACATGTTCAACTAAATTAACACAATAGTCATTCAGAAAAAACAAAAGCTTAAGAGAAATTACATTGAAAAGGACGCACCAAAACCTACTGATACAGTAATTCTCCTAGAATCTGTAAGAAGCGTGTAGACAAAACACCTGCTTTTTGCTGATACAGTCGCTGACCAGTATGAGAGGTATGACGGATTTTACAGGTAGATAAGTGTGAGTGTGTATGTAATCTCTGTGATGGGGGCCGTGGCCTTTGCATACACCCCACTTTACTCAAAAATGTGAATATGGCCTCTAGAAGCCCTAAGGCAAACAAAAGAGGTGCAATTATACTCATGTCATTCTGAAATAAACTGTCTTACACAAATACAATTTGAAACACACAGCAAGTAATGGGCTTCTTTTTATATTAGACAAATAGCAAAACACTAACCTACCAACCAAATCTAGCAACTTCTATGTACATGGCAAAGTATTTAAACACTTGGTTTTGTAAACATAGTTTCCTTTTTTTTAACCATCTCAGATTGTATATTCAGTGAGCATAACAATAACTGTAATAAAAACGCAAATACAAGAAAATCGCTTTTAGTTCTGTCCAGAAGCAGCTCAAACGTAATTTGGAAAAATACAGAAAAAAAATCCACAACAAAACAAAAAAAAAACATTGCACTGAAATCTGGTGAGAGCCATTTTGTTTGCTTATACTGACTCTTCAACATTATGAACATTTAAATCAGAGTATTAATTCAATTTAGATTAACCTCTCATTCCAATTCAAACACTGACAATATGTTTGGCTTCGGTAAATTGTCTATTCCTCAACACCAAATACTAACACTAATACTACTAATAATTTTCCAAAGGGTTTTGCTCCAAAACAATAGTTGATTTAGCCCTTGTTGATGCCCATCTACTTTGTGCAAATCGAATTCCATAGTTCCATAAGAGATAATTGGCTTCGAGAATTCCAGAAGAGATTCGCAGCTGTATTACAAAAAAATCCCAACCAGTTAACAGTAGAAAATGTTCCAGAATCAAAAGTGGATAAAAAAAAAATCATATTTCATTGGCACCCTGAGACGATTATTTTACGAGAACGTCTGGACTTTAGAATAGAACCAGGCGCATCATTGTATGAACACCGTAAGAGAATGTGCTTCTTTGGAACGTAAAATGGCAGTGATCGAGGGCGAGGAGTGAATTCTGTGCCCTTTCTCTTGCATGTACTGTAGAATTGAGGTAATGGAATGACAGAGCTAAGGAAGCCGTAGAATTTAAAGCTCTCGTGGTAGAACGCACTCTTCGAGGATTTGGCTCTGCCAGCATTACCACGCCCAGGACCACGTTTACCAAGATCGGTCCTATTCTGTACTGGCATTACCTCAGTAATACGACGCTTCCACTGCCCGGTCCATAAATACCAGTCCCTATGCATCTGGGATTCGAGATAATGTTTCAGTAGAGCAAAGAAGTGGAAAGGTCTTTAAACACTCAACATACATTACGGACCAGAAAAAGATTGCTATGCACTGGCTGTTTTTCCAGCATTAATATAATACTGCAAGTAGTAGTAATAGTAATTCGGAATAATCTGTAGCTTATAGAATTCGGTACAGGAGAAGCTTTGATTGCTTATAAACTTAACCTCAAAGTTTATTGACTGGGTGCACAAGTCAGAAATCACTAAGCTTATACACTAAGCTTATACACTAAGCTTATACAAATGAAAACACAAAAAGCAATATATGTTTTGGTACATCTCACTTAACTGCATGGTGTCATGTTCATTTAATGTGATAAATGTACTTTTGTATGTTTGCTATTGTGTCTTATTAAAGCGACAAGATGAACATGAAAGGGAGTTTAAAAAAACATACAGAATTTGATTATTTTTCTCTGAGGCTGAAAGTTCAGAGAATCTTAGTCTTATGTATCTCTAAGTGTTAAATATGTACAGCAAATCAGAGTGGTTAGTGCCCCAATGGAGAAATGCACCATCTTAGCAATGCAACCACAAGATTCACACACCTACATCCCAACTGCAGTACTCTCCTATTCCAGACCTAAAACAAACTGACATCAATAATAATCATGACAAAATTTCCTTTCACAGCTGTTCTAGAGGTTCTCCATTGTCTTCAGCATTATGTCTATGTTAATTAATTCATCTTCCTTACATTTATGTAAAATCTGACTCAACATACCACAATCCACTTAAATAACAATTTAATTAAAAGTAACTTTCATTTACTATAAACACTATTATCATTTCATGGCTCCTGGCAGTGATTGGTTAACCAGATTATAATTAGAATTCATGTGCAATATGTCGTATATAGCTAATATTTTCATCTTTAGATTTTTAGAATTGAGCAGCAGGGCAACTAAGAGCTAAAATGACTTACAAGGGCAATACATGGGCTACAGCTATAAATATTATATAGGAAAAGTGTATTCAACACTATAACAATCTGTAATCACTACTTTGACAAGTATTATCTGCTTCTATCCTTCATTCTGCATCTACAATATTCACCTTACCAACTGAATCCATTTTTTTTTTGTGCTAGAGTTGTGGTGCATGATTTGCAAATCTGTCAGGACAAGGAAAATTCTATGCAAACACTCTGAAGCACTAACAGAGAACATACCAAAATTTACTTATGAGCCAATGAGAACAAGTAAAGGGACATTTGAGTTATACTTACACAAAAATGTTCTAAGTGCAGATCAAAAAATGATTAGTTCAGAGAGATCACCAATCAGATTGTAGAGGAGGTGGATCTAAGCAACTAGAGGAGGCAGGACCAAGACATCTAATTGGTTGGTCCCACCTCCCCTATTTGCATGGACCCATTTTTGTGCAAGTAAAACTCCCACAAGCCAAATAAATATCTTGCATATGTCGAGTTTAACATGGTTTCCTATCTTTTCTTTCACCTTGACATAGTTACAAAATANGGGGGGAGGCAGGGAGAAAGTGAGAAAAGGGGGTACGTGATACAAAAAATGCTGTGGGGCTTAGGTCCTTCGAGTTTGGCGGTACGTAGAAAAAAGTCGAGTTAAAAACATGGTTCCCTGCGAGAGCAAGGAGTAGCACCATTCTGAGGATATCAGGTTCCACTTTGTCATGGTTTACAAAAGGATACCTGGAAACTGTTGTATTGCTGTTGTTAAGACAACTGTAGTGTCAACCTTTAAAACAGCACAAGCAGAATAGCGACAAACAAATTGTATCAAATGGGCCCCCCATCGCTGCTAGGTACAGTCCTTCCTGGGCTGTTCGTCAGTTGTACATTTATCAGTCATTTCCTGGCAAAAATCTACCGTTACAGTCTGACTGCACCTTTCGAATGAGGGCCCGCCCACTGGAGGTGGGCCTACACCGTGTTCCTGCCCCACTGCCACGCCCCCCAGACAATCAGCACCCTTGCCTGGCTCCCATTGGTTGGAGGTCAGCTTTCTGTCAGAGGGACAAGGAGACGGGCAGCAGCCAGGCTCAGGAGTGGGGGAATCTGAGTTGGCAGTGAGGTCGATGCTGGTGGCGGCGTCGTTGCTGGCAAAGGTGGGGGAGTGGCTGACGTCGGGGTCCCCAGCATGCAGGAACGGGCAGTAACGATTCAGGGACTGGACCTGATCGGGGCTCAGCTGCCCATCTCGGCACACCTCCTGGGACAGGCAGGAAAAGTTCTCCCACAGCTCGCCCATGCAGGCCTTCAGCTGGTTACGCTCCGTCAACAGCTTCTCCTTCTCGCACACCTGTGCACACACACACACACAGATCAAATCAATGTTTATTTATCAAATCCATAACAGTACACCATACAGTAGTAGACATGGGTCCAAGCAACTAGAAGATTCAGAGAGATAACCAATCATACTGTAGAGACGGTGGGCCCAAGCAACTAGAGGAGGCAGGACCAAGACATCTAATTGGTTGGTCCCACCTCCTCTATTTGCATGGACCCATTTTTGTGTAAGTAAAACTCCCACAAGCCAAATAAATATCTTGCATATGTCGAGTTTAACATGGTTTCCTATCTTTTCTTTCACCTTGACATAGTTACAAAATAACACCAAGGACTTATATATATTTCAGGTTTAGCTTTAAACACTATGGATCTAGAACACTATTGCCTAACAAGAGTTTAATTTATGACAAAGGGGATTAAGTGTGTGTTTGAGTGTGTATAAAAACCTAGTGACCTGAGATTGTAAATATCTAATTGTGTGTTTAAGTGGCAACAGAAAAAAAACGTATTACTAAATTTAGTGTAAAAACATGCCTTCTACAGGGATACTGCTGATGTTTGCAATTTTAAATCACATTTTAATATAGAGACATGTACACAAACAATGTCTTTTTGTTTGTTATTCATTTTTTGAGTTTTTGTTTTATAGCTAGGGTTAGGGATCATTATATTAAAACAAGAGTGAGTTGGAAGTCTCCAAAAATGTGTGCATGTGTGCACGTGTGTGTGTGTGTTCACACACACATATTGGGAGTGACTGGTAATCATTTTGCTCTCTCTCCATCATTCCTTCCCTCCAGGGCTGTAAAGGCAAAAGAGGAATGTTTAAATACAAATGTCTGTACAATACAAGTTAAGAACTCCAGTAAACAGAGCGAAACATTTAGTCTGTTGTATAAAACTCTCAAAGTACAGAATCTGTATTTTTTTTTTTTTTTTTTTT